GGTGGGGTCAGAGGAGATACTGACGGCTTTCTTCATACATCTCTTGTTGTAGAGGTCCTGCATGGGTGGGAGGGCAGCTGCAGTGATGAACTGAGCAGTCTTCACTACTCTCTGCAGAGCCTTGTGTTCAGCAGCAGTGGCACCACCATACCACACTGTGAGACAGCTGCTCAGAATACTCTCCACAGTGGACCTGTAGAAGTTGCAGAGTAGCTGCTGTGGCAGTTTAGCMCTCTTCAGACGACGGAGGACGTGGAGGCGCTGTTGGGCTTTCCTGCTAACGTGGGATGTATTCAGTGACCAGGTGAGATCCTGAGATATAAACACCGAGGAACCTGAGGCTGTCCACTCTCTCCACTAATGTCCCCTCAATACTCAGGGGTTTGTGCACTCTACTCCCTCGCCTGAAGTCCACAGTGGTCTTTTGGACAGATAAACAGATTTACATTGTGTTCAATTTACCTCAGAAGTCAGAACTCAGACTCAGGAATGATGTACAACAGGCAGAAGTTAAAAAACCTGATGGATTTGCTAATATATGGGTTTATTCTATTCATCTCTGACGTATGAGTAAATATAAATGCTGTTTATAAAAATCCAATTGACTTTTAGTACATTAATTTCTTTTACTTTGACTTTCAAGCCTAGCCTAGCAATGGCTAACTAGCAGAACTTTTCCTTCAAAAGAGATTTAAAAATATAATTTAAGGACAGAAGGCTAAACACTGCAGAACCACAGTATAAAAGGGACTCGCATCTTACCTTTTGAAATCTCTTCATGTCCCAAGAGTCATCAAAGCCTGGGTAGTTTCCAGGAAAATCTGTTGTATGAACCTGAAAGATACACTCACTATTATTAGCATTTTTGCTTGGTGTTGATATTTGTTTCCTTTTTTTAATTTCACTAATSAAAAATGAGATTTCCCTGTTAAAGCTTTTATTCTGGGTTGCTCCCAGTCTGCAATAATCAGGACCTACCAGAACTAGTCCCAAACTGGTGTTTTCAGCAATCAGCAGCTGAAACTGACTCATATGGGAAGTGACAGCTGTCCAACCAAACAAAAACTAATGTAGCTTAAATTGCTAAAAACATTAGTGGTAGATCAGTGTATTTCAGTCTGTTGTGTTTAAACTTACATTAAAGCCACAAACCTGTCTTTATAGGAAGTTTGTGGCTCGTGAAGTACCTTATCAATATGGAGGCAGTGTGATGGTTAAGAAATACTTATTGTTACTCTGGACACTCTTTCATGTAAATATCCCTGGTGATTTGTTTCAGAAGCATAATGTTGATAAGTACACTGCATTTATATATCAATAGTGAAATTTAGGGATGGGGCTGATCCGATACACTATCTGTATTGAGGCTCCGTTACTAACATAATTAACGGATCAGAATTTTTTGATCCAATGTGGGGAGGTTTCCCATCCATGAGTCTTGTCTGTGCTATCATGTTGTCTGCTGAAATGACTCCAGAGGTGATTCCTGGCCAGTTGATCTGCTAGCTGGCTGCAAACTGAATGGATTGCCTGAATGGAGGAGAGTCTCAATGAGACACTGAGTAGTGAGTCCCACCTCCATTCAGGAAATCCATTCCACAGTTTGGAAGGGGGGGGTCTGTCAGCTGCGGACATGAAAATGCCTGCTGCGAAGCAGGAAGGAAGGAGAGCGGAAAAAGTTCAAAACTTATTTCTAGTGGCAGAACAGGTTGGAAGATGTCTGATGTTATTTATTGTTTTTTTAATAATCCTACAGGCTCTGACATGATAGATAAATTTGAAAATGAGGTTTTGAAAAAATCCATAAGATTTGAAAAAATCCGAGATTGCTCTATACGTCCGCATACCTGAAAAATGGCATAAAATCCTTATAACTTACGGACAATCCGTACAAGCTGACATGTATGGAAGGGATTTCCCAGYACTATGCCACTAACAGAAAACAAAATGTAAATTTCATAGGAAATTCTAAATGTTGTWAAACAAAAGAATGATTCTGAAGACATCAATTTAAAAGTAGATTAGGAAGACTTTATGGTATTTGAGTTACTGGGATTGTTAGCTGGTGTCCTTATGCAAACTTCATTTACAGAACTGCCCCAGTGTTTATGCAGCCTAGATTCGATTTACGCTTTCAAAACACATCTGAAGACTWTCTTTTACWAACAGGRTTGTAGCTATTTGTTAGTTTTTATTATGCATACTCGATGCCCTGTTTTAATTGTACTTTTTTCTGCAAGTGATGTTAATTTGTTTATTGGTATATTCTTAAATTTGTCTTGCTTTTATTGTACATCATAGTAGTTTTTATATCTATGAATGCTATATAAAAAAACTAAAATTAGTAAAAAATATTTTCACGGTTTTTACACTGCAACATGCTTTTTCTGACTCATTGCTGACAAAGCTAAACATAAGGTTAACAGATGGAGATGTTGGGCAGACATGACCAGTAAATCAAAGCGTACATTATTTATGGCMCAAACTGAACCCTCCAGAACCAGAGACACCCTCAGCTCGTCACTTCAGTTCTCCTCTGTCACACTGCAGCTTCTGTGCAAAGATACATGATGCAGCTTGTCAGGATGCTCTCACCAGGTGGTGCATCGGGGGCTGGCTTATCTTAATCAGGTGTGTGTTAAAATCCTCAGTGACGCAAGCCCTCAAACACTTTCATTTAGCTGTCCTTTCTCCACCAGCCATGGAAGGTGATCTTTGTCTGTAGCTTACAAACAACACGTTTTTGTCCCTCATTAATTATTGCACCTTCTGCTCTCTATTTCGTCCTCAATGATGGTTTTAATAGAAAAAACACCTAAGCAAATTTCATGTTTATCCTCAATGATGGTTTTAATAGAAAAAACACCTAAGCAAATTTCATGTTTGGGTAGCAAAAATGAGCCCGCTAATAAAAAAATAAGCAACCAAAGCTAAGATAACAAGAGTTCCACTGCAGTTCGTTAGTTTAAGGTTAAAGAAAACTAAATCATTGTGATTATTGTTCTGAGACGAACTTACATTCTTCACTCCAAATTCCCCCAATATTACTCGATTCCGAATCTCCTCCACGTTACTCATGGTGGCGGCCATTTTTTCCTCGATGATCTTCGAGCATAGACGTAAATTACGTAGATACACGTTGCCTTCGTGACGAAGCTGCCATCTTGAGGAGGGAGGCTGCAGCTTCACACGTCTTTTTTAAATTCATACTCAGAAATCACCACGCACAATGACTAAAACAGGAAGATGTATAGTTTAATTGTCCATTTTGGTCTTCATGATGTAAATAGTAAAAAAAGGAAGACAAATGTGTGTCATAAATTTAATACTACTCTCAGGTAATAAACACAAATCAAAGTTCAGTCACTCCACTCCCTTTTTTCTTGTGTTCAAAAAGGAATCTGAATATCATAAGCATCTCTGACTCTAATAAGAAAGCTGTAAAAACTATTGAGTTGTGCATCTCATTTAATGTCTTTATCCCCTGGCTTTTGTTCAAATGTTCAAATGAATATTGACAACTGCCTTGTAATATTTTTTTAATTAAAAAAGTTTAATTGTCCATTTTAGGTACTTATTAAACCACAAACAAACATGTCGAGGTTCTCAATGCAGAGGCTGGCTAGATCAGTGTTTCCCAAAGTTGGGGTCGGGACCCAAAGTGGGGTCCCGAAACATCAAGTTGGGGTCCTGAAAAAATTTTACGAATTAATTACATTTTTGCCTTAGTTGTTACAAAGGAGTGAGGTTAGTATATTTAAAATGGATAAATGTAGTATAAAAATATTGTTACTAT